CATACATAACGGTGCCCCGTGACCTGGTGCCAACAGCTCTCGCTTCACACCATGAGTGTCCGCGTTCGATTCCGGGGAAGAGATGGAAACATTGGACGTGTTTCCATACACCGGTTGTCTATGTTTACCCATCATTAAAATGGGTACCTGGGTGTTAGTCGATTGGTGTGGGTCGCATTCAGGGACAAAACTGATCTAATTTGCAGGAATGGCTTAGCTTAACAAGCGGCTTTCTATGTAATAGTATGTTATTGATGTCAGCTATGGTCTATGTACCTTGTACATGTACTTGTAGTAAATAAAGATACTATTATTTATTATTTATTATAAGAGGGATTACCAATAGATCCTTGGCTGACTGTTGGGCAGGCACCTAAAATCAGTTTCTCACCAGCCGGGCTGTGATTCGTACGTCGGTTTTCGTGTGGCCAACAGTAACAGTCTGAGGGCTGTTGGACACCGGAACCTTTTCGGTATATATATAAAATATATTATATATATATATTATATATTTTAATATATTATATAATATAAAATATATATATTATATATTATATATATTATATATATATATTAATCATACAGAGGTGCAACTTGTCCTGTAAACATAAGAAACAGTAGCAGCACAATACTAAATATCAATCAGCTTGATTAATTATAAGAATGTCATGGTGAGTTACCTACTGATATGCGCCTCTTATCTTCCCAAGGTTACTTATAGATGCACATCTTGTATGCTCTTAGGCCACCTACACCAGGCTTGTAGTAATTACTTAATTCAACGTTCATCACAATTACATGTTATATTTACTATTATTTAATCAGAAAAATAACAATTTACAATTACTTAATAATTTGTATTAAATTATTTTCATGAATTGCCGGAAAATTTACTAATGTTGAAATCATTGTTAAATGTTCGAAATAATAGACGAACATGAATGGTAATTAAATGTGAGTACGTGAACATTGCACAATATTATATTAATTACATTTTCGATTGCAGTCAAACATGTTGAACATAAGCATCACTTTGGTTACACTAAATTAGTAAAAAAAACAGGAAGATGACAACTAATTGGGCTTCGTTCCACATAATATACTTTATTGTGGTGGATCTAGACACAGTGTTTAGTAATTATTTTCTTTTCATTCTATACATTTTAAATAAGAAAACTGGATCTAAAAGCTGAAGAAAATTATAATAAATGTTGCACTGAATTCTTGCAGAAAGTTACCAGTGACTTATTTAACAACGTGATAAACCATAATGATGCACTAGAAGACAAAAAGAATGCAGATGTAATATATACAGACTTTGCAAAAGCCTTCGACAAGTGTGACCATGGCGTAATAGCGCACAAAATGCGTGCTAAAGGAATAACAGGAAAAGTCGGTCGATGGATCTATAATTTCCTCACTAACAGAACACAGAGAGTAGTCGTCAACAGAGTAAAGTCCGAGGCAGCTACAGTGAAAAGCTCTGTTCCACAAGGCACAGTACTCGCTCCCATATTTATTTATTTATATTATGTCTTTGCAAACAGTACATTGAGATTTTGTATTTGCAATAGTGGGTTGCAATGCAAAGACAGCCTCTATTATGCCTAGGCATTATGGACCAACTTAACATTATTGGCTTACAGACTACTTACCTGGAGTTTACCTGGAGAGAGTTCCGGGGGTCAACGCCCCCGCGGCCCGGTCTGTGACCAGGCCTCCTGGTGGATCAGAGCCTGATCAACCAGGCTGTTGCTGCTAGCTGCACGCAAACCAACGTACGAGCCACAGCCTGGCTGGTCAGGAACCGACTTTAGGTGCTTGTCCAGTGCCAGCTTGAAGACTGCCAGGGGTCTGTTGGTAATCCCCCTTATGTATGCTGGGAGGCAGTTGAACAGTCTCGGGCCCCTGACACTTATTGTATGGTCTCTTAATGTGCTAGTGACACCCCTGCTTTTCATTGGGGGGATGTTGCATCGTCTGCCAAGTCTTTTGCTTTCGTAGTGAGTGATTTTCGTAAGCAAGTTCGGTACTAGTCTAGGATTTTCCAGGTGTATATAATCATGTATCTCTCCCGCCTGCGTTCCAGGGAATACAGTTTTAGGAACCTCAAGCGCTCCCAGTAATTGAGGTGTTTTATCCTCCGTTATGCGCGCCGTGAAGGTTCTCTGTACATTTTCTAGGTCAGCAATTTCACCTGCCTTGAAAGGTGCTGTTAGTGTGCAGCAATATTCCAGCCTAGATAGAACAAGTGACCTGAAGAGTGTCATCATGGGCTTGGCCTCCCTAGTTTTGAAGGTTCTCATTATCCATCCTGTCATTTTTCTAGCAGATGCGATTGATACAATGTTATGGTCCTTGAAGGTGAGATCCTCCGACATGATCACTCCCAGGTCTTTGACGTTGGTGTATTGCTCTATTTTGTGGCCAGAATTTGTTTAGTACTCTGATGAAGATTTAATTTCCTCTTGTTTACCATATCTGAGTAATTGAAATTTCTTATCGTTGAACTTCATATTGTTTTCTGCAGCCCACTGAAAGATTTGGTTGATGTCCGCCTGGAGCCTTGCAGTGTCTGCAATGGAAGACACTGTCATGCAGATTCGGGTGTCATCTGCAAAGGAAGACACGGTGCTGTGGCTGACATCCTTGTCTATGTCGGATATAAGGATGAGGAACAAGATGGGAGCAAGTACTGTGCCTTGTGGAACAGAGCTTTTCACCGTAGCTGCCTCGGACTTTACTCTGTTGACGCTACTCTCTGTGTTCTGTTAGTGAGGAAATTATAGATCCATCGACCGACTTTTCCTGTTATTTTCCCTTTAGCACTCATTTTGTGCGCTATTACGCCATGGTCACACTTGTCGAAGGCTTTTGCAAAATCTGTATATATTACATCTGCATTCTTTTTGTCTTCTAGTGCATTTAGGACCTTGTCGTAGTGATCCAATAGTTGAGACAGACAGGAGCGACCTGTTCTAAACCCATGTTGCCCTGGGTTGTGTAACTGATGGGTTTCTAGATGGGTGGTGATCTTGCTTCTTAGGACCCTTTCAAAGAATTTTATGATATGGGATGTTAGTGCTATCGGTCTGTAGTTCTTTGCTCTTGCTTTACTGCCCCCTTTGTGGAGTGGGGCTATGTCTGTTGTTTTTAGTAACTGTGGGACGACCCCAGTGTCCATGCTCCCTCTCCATAGGATGGAAAAGGCTCGTGATGAACACGGAGTTCCATGAGTCTGGCCCTGGGGCAGAGTGCATGGGCATGTCATTTATCGCCTGTTCGAAGTCGTTTGGCGTCAGGATAACATCGGATAGGCTTGTGTTAACCAAATTTTGTGGCTCTCTCATAAAAAATTAATTTTGATCTTCGACTCTCAGTCTGGTTAGCGGCTTGCTAAAAACTGAGTCATATTGGGACTTGAGTAAGTAAGTAAGTAAGTAAGTTTATTCAGGTATACACAAATACAGTTACATAGAATTATCATACATAGCAGCACACTCATAGCTCACTCATTTCCTTGCTGTCATCTGTGTAGGACCCATCTTGTTTAAGTAGGGGCCCAATACTGGACGTTGTTCTCGACTTTGATTTGGCATAGGAGAAGAAATACTTTGGGTTTCTTTCGATTTCATTTATGGCTTTTAGTTCTTCCCGCGATTCCTGACTCCTATAAGATTCCTTTAGCTTAAGTTCGATGCTTGCTATTTCTCTGACCAGTGTCTCCCTACCCATTTCAGATATATTGACCTCTTTTAGCCGCTGTTATTCTTTTCCATCGCCTGTAAAGGGAGCGCCTGTCTCTTTCTATTTTACATCTACTCCTCCTTTTTCTTAGAGGAATAAGCCTTTTGCATACATCGAGTGCCACCAAGTTAATCTGTTCTAAGATAAGATAAGATAAGATAAGATTTCGTTCGGATTTTTAACCCCGGAGGGTTAGCCACCCAGGATAACCCAAGAAAGTCAGTGCGTCATCGAGGACTGTCTAACTTATTTCCATTGGGGTCCTTAATCTTGTCCCCCAGGATGCGACCCACACCAGTCGACTAACACCCAGGTACCTATTTGCTGCTAGGTGAACAGGACAACAGGTGTAAGGAAACGTGTCGAAATGTTCCCACCCGCCGGGAATCGAACCCGGGCCCTCCGTGTGTGAAGCGGGAGCTTTAGCCACCAGGCCACCGGGCATAAGTTGGGGCCTGTGTTGCTTAGTATATCTTCCCAGCTTATATCGGTTAGGACATGGTTTACTTGGTCCCACTTTGTTTTTGTTATTGAAGTTGAATTTGGTGAATGATCCCTCGTGACTAATCTCATTATATCGGTCTGGGGCTCCACGCATACATGTCTGAACCTCAATTATGTTGTGATCTGAGTATATTGTTTTTGATATGGTGACATTTCTTATCAGATCATCATTGTTAGTGAAGATGAGGTCTAGTGTATTCTCCAATCTAGTAGGCTCTATTATTTGCTGGTTTAAATTGAATTTTGTGCAGAGATTTAAAAGCTCGTGTGAGTGTGAGTTTTCATCCGAGCTGCCTCCTGGTGTTATTACTGCAACAATATTATTTGCTATTTTCCAGGAGCAAGATGTTGGGTGCAGGAGCTGGAAGATTTTCCAGACAGTGGTCAATTTTTAACAGCTGTTCCTGGAATTGCTGGGATGTTGCATCCGGAGGCTTGTAGACTACCACAATGACTAGGTTTTGGTTCTCGACCTTTACTGCTAAAACTTCCACTACATCATTTGAGGCATTAAGCAGTTCTGTGCAAACAAGTGACTCTGCAATGTACAGGCCAACCCCCCCCCCCTTTTTTTTTTACCTGTTCACTCTGTTTATTACCTGGACCTCAGCAATGAGAGTCGCTACTCTCACCGCTGGGCAACGGCGACCAGTGCTGTTGATGTTAAGAGAAACTCAAGATAACAGTAATGTGTACCCATAAATAACCCTGTGCTTGAGATAACTGAAAGGAGTGATGATAACATATTAGTGTCAGGTCCCAGCCAGGCACTGACACTCTCCCAGCCAGGCCAGGACACTGCCAGACAGGCACTGACACTCTCCCAGGCAGGCCAGCCAGGCACTGACACTCCCAGGCAGGCCAGCCAGGCACTGACACTCTCCCAGCCAGGCCAGGACACTGCCAACCAGGCACTGACACTCTCCCAGCCAGGCCAGGACACTGCCAGCCAGGCACTGACACTCTCCCAGCCAGGCCAGGACACTGCCAGACAGGCACTGACACTCTCCCAGGCAGGCCAGCCAGGCACTGACACATCCCAGCCAGGCCAGAACACTGCCAGCCAGGCACTGACACTCTCCCAGCCAGGCCAGGACACTGCCAGCCAAGCTAGCCAGGCACTGACACACCTCTCCTCACTACTGCTGGTATTATCATCATCTGCCATTATTACAGTCAAGTAAGAGTACCAGGATGGCACCCAAGGTACGCACTGTGAGGCTGCATACTGGACAAGAGATGCCAATCATTGGCATTGGTACATGGAGGGTGAGTATATTAAATTGTAACAGTGAACTTAACATAACCAGTCACTAGCTGCCACTGCTCACAAATTACCACAAAATATCACAAAAAAAGACAATATACCATAAACATACTAGTAAACTACACCATACTGCCACTTATTAACAACTCAACCATTATGTAACATATATCGTTGCATTATGAGCAAAAATATCTCGTAATTAATGTTTCAATCTCAAGGTAACTACACACACAGGGTATGCAGTGACGTCACACTGCCCATCAACATACTACGCAGATATTTCTTTCCAGTCAATTTTTTTTATTTTTTTTTATTCGCCGGTATTCTCCCGGCCCGGGTCTTTTCCAAGTAGTGGTGACCCGGCCTTGGCTCCCTATCCAGTCAATTTTTATTCAGGCAATAAGTACATATTTTTTTTATAGCAATCCTTAAGTAAGTAAGTAAGTTTATTCAGGTATACACAAATACAGTTAAGATAAGATAAGATAAGATTTCGTTCGGATTTTTAACCCCGGAGGGTTAGCCACCCAGGATAACCCAAGAAAGTCAGTGCGTCATCGAGGACTGTCTAACTTATTTCCATTGGGGTCCTTAATCTTGTCCCCCAGGATGCGACCCACACCAGTCGACTAACACCCAGGTACCTATTTGCTGCTAGGTGAACAGGACAATAGGTGTAAGGAAACGTGTCGGAATTTCCACCCGCCGGGAATCGAACCCGGGCCCTCCGTGTGTGAAGCAGGAGTTTTAGCCACCAGGCCACCGGGCCATTATCATACATTGCAGCATATGTGTAGAGAACCTATGGCACACGGATGTTATGGACACATAAAATGTACATTATGTAGATTTAACATAGAAGAAATCGATAAAATAAAAAAAAATGTGCCTTATTTCCAATGGAGTCCCTTGTCAAAATTTTATTTCTCCAAAAAATTGATATATGTGAATTACAGCGTTCTTTCAGCCCCCAGATTAAATATTTTTGTACATTCTAAGCCCCTCACCAAGGTGCCTTGATCCAAGGAAATGGACGTATCTTCTCTTTACTTGGTTTGAAACAGATTTCTTCCTATTACACTGGAAGCTTTATGTCCCCTGTGAGTTTAGCGCTCCCAATGAATGTATAATAATAATAATAATAATAATAATAATAATAATAATAATAATAATAATAATAATAATAATAATAATGTACATTCTTAGGAAAGCCAGTTGTTACACAAAGTGTCTCGGGTAAAGCAAAAGTTATGTAGGATGTTTGAGATTTTTTTTTTTTTTTTTATTCACCGGTATTCTCCCGGCCGGGTCTTTTCCAAGTAGTGGTGACCCGGCCTTAGCTCCCTATCTGGGGAGTGTCTCGAGACTTAAGTCTCCCATGGGAGGAGGTACAGTACCTCCTCATCTTTGGGACCAAGTGTCCCCAGGCCTAGCCACATTCCCCGCCCTCACGGGGCTCATAGGGAGAAGCTAGGCCTCTGGTCTGCCATCTACCCTGCCTCGAAGTGGCTCGTGGGGATGGCAGCCTTATGAGCTGCAGATGGTAGCAAGCTCTGACCTTAATGTTGGAGATGTTGGATGATAGTCCCAGACTGAGTGAGTCAGTACTTGTTGTTATAATAACAATATTTATTGTTACAATAACAATATTTGTTGTTACAATAACAATATTTGTTGTTATAATAATATTTGTTGTTACAATAACAATATTTGTTGTTACAATAACAATATTTGTTGTTACAATAACAATACTTGTTGTTACAATAACAATACTTGTTGTTACAATAACAATACTTGTTACAATAACAATATTTGTTATAATAATATTTGTTGTTACAATAAAAATATTGTTGTTACAATAAAATACTTGTTACAAAAAAAATTTTTTGTTAAAATAATATTTGTTGTTACAATAACAAATATTGTTACAAAAACAATACTTGTTACAAAAACCCTACTTGTTAAATAACAATTTTTTGTTATAAAAATATTTGTTGTTCAATAAAATATTTTTTGTTACAAAAAAATTTTTTTTTTTTAAAATAACAATATTTTTGTTACAATAAAAATATTTTTTTAAATAAAAATTTTGTTTTTTACAATAAAAATTTTTTGTTGTTACAAAAACAATACTTGTTGTTAAATAAAAATACTTTTTTACAATAAAAAATTTTTTTAAAATAAAAATATTTGTTGTTACAATAACAAACTGTTAAAAATAACAATATGTTACTAAAAATCTTGTTGTTACAAAAACAATATTTGTTTTTTAAAATAACAATATTGTTTTTAAAATTTAAATATTGTTTTTACAATAACAATACTTGTTACAAAAACAAATTGTTGTTACAATAACAATAATTGTTGTTACAATAACAAATTTTTGTTAAAATAACAATATTTGTTGTTACAATAAAATACTTGTTACAAAAAAAATACTTGGTGTTACAATAAAAATTTTTTTTGTTAAATAAGAAAAGAAAAGATTTCTTGGATTTTAACCCCCGGAGGGTTAGCCACCGGAAAACCCCAAAAAGTCGTGCGTATCGAGGCCTGTCTAACTTATTTCCTTTGGGGGTCCTTAATCTTGCCCCCCCGGGATGCGCCCCCCCCAAAAGTGATAACACCCGGTACCATTTGCTGTAGGTGAACGGACACAGTGTAGGAAACGTTCGAAATGTTTCCCCCCGCCGGGGAAACGAACCCGGGCCTCCCGGGGGAAGAGGAGGCTTTTTGCCACCAGGCCACCGGGCCCCTCCAAAAACAATAACAAAACTTGTTACAATAACAATACTTGGTGTTTCAAAAACAATTTGGTGTTACAATAACAAATTTGTTGTTACAATAACAATACTTTGGGGAACCCGGTGGTTAAACTCTCGCTTTACACGGCGAGGGCTGGGTTTTGATTCCCAGCCAGAGTAAAAAATTGGGCGTGTTTCTTTCCATGTTGTTATGTTCCCCATCAGTAAAATGGGTCGTGGGTGTTGTGGACTGGTGGGGGTGCTCTGGGTGTTTTGACTGGTGGGGTCGCATCCTGGGTGTTTATGGGGTGGGGTTTGGGTCGCTCTGGGTGTTATCGACTGGTGTGGGTCGCATCCTGGGTGTTTGGGACGGGGGTGGGTCGCACCCGGGTGTTAGTCGACTGGGTGGGTCGCATTGGGTGTTAGTCGATGGTTTTGGGTCGCATCCTGGGTGTTTGTCGACTGGGTGTGGGTGCAACCCCGGGTGTTAGTCGACGGTGTGGGCGCATCCTGGAACACGACTAAATTTTCCCCAAATGCTGGCATAACAAAACGGGGTTTCTTACATTATGTCATTTTTTGTCACAGGATTTATACCTTGTACATTACTTGTGTAAATAAAGATATTTTATTATTTTTTTTTATTTTACAATAACAATATTGTTTCAATAAAAAACTTGTTACAATAACAATATTTTGTACAATAACAATATTTGTTGTTACCAAAAAAATACTTTTTTGCTTTTAAAAGTATTTGTTACAATAACAATACTTGTTACAATAACAATACCTTGTTACAATAACAATATTTGTTGTTACAATAACAATACCTTGTTACAATAACAATACTTGTTACAATAACAATACTTGTTACAATAACAATACCTTGTTAAAATAACAATACTTGTTACAATAACAATACCTTGTTACAATAACAATACTTGTTACAATAACAATACTTGTTGTTACAATAAAAATACCTTGTTACAATAATACTTGTTACAATAACAATACTTGTTACAATAAAAATACCTTCTTACAATAACAATATTTGTTACAATAATAATACTTGTTACAATAACAATACTTGTTACAATAACAATACTTGTTACAATAACAATACTTCTTGTTACAATAACAATACTTGTTACAATAACAATACTTGTTGTTACAATAACAATACCTTGTTACAATAACAATACTTGTTACAATAACAATACTTCTTGTTACAATAACAATACTTGTTACAATAACAATACTTGTTACAATAACAATACTTGTTACAATAACAATACCTTGTTACAATAATATTTGTTGTTACAATAACAATACTTGTTGTTACAATAACAATACCTGTTGTTACAGTAACAATACCTTGTTACAATAACAATATTTGTTACAATAACAATACTTGTTACAATAACAATACTTGTTACAATAACAGTACTTGATACAATAACAATATTTGTTGTTACAATAACAATACTTGTTACAATAACAATATTTGTTGTTACAATAACAATAATTGTTACAATAACAATAATTGTTACAATAACAATACTTACAATAACAATATTTGTTGTTACAATAATAACAACTGTTACAATAACAATACTTGTTACAATAACAATACTTGTTACAAAAACAATACTTGTTGTTACAATAACAATACTTGTTGCAATAATACTTGTTGTTACAATAACAATACTTGTTACAATAACAATTATTGTTACAATAACAATTATTGTTACAATAACAGTAATTGTTACAATAACAATACTTGGTGATACAATACTTGTTGTTACAATAACAATACTTGTTACAATAATACTTGTTGTTACAATAATACTTGTTACAATAACAATTATTGTTACAATAACAATAATTGTTACAATAACAATACTTGGTGATACAGTAACAATACTTGTTGCAATAATACTTGTTGTTACAATAACAATATTTGTTGTTACAATAACAATACTTGTTGTTACAATAACAATACTTGTTGCAATAATACTTGTTGTTACAATAACAATAGTTGTTACAATAACAATTATTGTTACAATAACAATAATTGTTACAATATCAATACTTGGTGAACAGTAACAACTTTTTGCAATAATATTGTTGTTACAATATATATTGTTGTTACAATAACAATACTTGTGTTACAATACAATACTTTTAAAAATACTTGTGTTACAATAACATACTTGTTACAAAAAAATTATTGTTACAATAATAATTGTTACAATAAC